TAGCTCAACTTCATTAGGATTAGCTTCATTCTCCACATCTTCAATAGGTGGCTGCACATCTCCCCCCGATCAACATGGACAAGTTGAAGAAATATTACCCTTGAGAGGCTCCCTAGGCCGAAAACCCCAAAGGGCGCCTAGGCAAAAGTTAGAGCACAAAAAATTGGAAAATATAAAAACTGAGCTCGCAAGGTTGAAAACCCGCAAAGGGCGACCTTGGCAAAAGTTAGAGCGTAAAAGGAGAGTGAAAATACTCGAGTGAACCTAAGCCTGAACTACGTAAGGCTTGATTCCCATCTTTGGGATACGTAGGCAACTTCATCCTAGAGTTCAGCCATAACCCTTCGCCCCGATCAACTTTGTCCATTTGATCATCTCGGTCATCTTTGTCTATTCAGCATTCAAGGGTTCGGTTATGATCTCCGGTGCAGCGCTCTTCAGACTAGGGGCAACTTTCCGTTGCCATGCAGGGCCGCGGTACTCTTCAGACTAGGGGCAACTTTCCAGTTGCAAAGATCCGGGGTTGTGCATCTCGGTGACAGATCTCAGGCGTGTCCAGTTCTGACCCACATCGAAAATGATTTTGAGAAGTTTTAATAAAAGCTAACTTTGTTCAAAATAATCTTTTTACAACTTTGATCATTTTTGGACCAAAGCGGAAAATTTTCAGTACCACAACCTTCAATTTCATTGATTTCAAAACAGAGTCCTCCTGCTCTTGCATACAATCGAAGTTGCTTTTTATTACATTCATAAAGAAAACTTGAAAGTACTAATAAAGCAATAAATCCGGGGCATAGTCAAGTCAGGTGTTCCTGCGCCCCCTCCCAGAGCTGGTCGAAGCCTCTGATGGCAAGATGGGCCTGACCTGTGCCTCCTCATTAAGCCAATCCAAGCACTCATTAGACAAAGTGCAACTGAAAGTAGGAGCGGGGGCTACGAGTTCTCTCGTCCTCCACGCGGTGGCCTGCCAAGCAAGCTGTGCGCCTCGGGCTGGGAATGCAGCAGGATAATCTATCCCCTCTGGCGGGCAGGTCTGATCATGGCCAAATTGGCGTCAAATCCGAAATGGGAAGTAGAATACACAGTGAGTGAGACCAACCAATTGAATCCCAGTCTGCCGGGGCATATTGTAACTCATTGCCGGAAGGCTCAGCCAAGGGCACCGCCAAGCAATACGGTCTGCGGACAAGCGGCACATCCAAGCAAACCACCATCTCTCATCTAGGGCATTGACTAGACGGTGCCGGAAGAAGTAGACGCGAGCTGAATATGCTGGGCAAGAGTCCACAACCTGCAATTTGTCCATCAACCATACCTGGAGAGGGATGAAAAATGAGAGAATAAAGAATAGAGAGATGTACGAGGAAAGAAAAGTGAGAATAAGGCTTTGTGAGAAAAGACCGAGCTTGAGGGCCGAGTGATGTGAGCAAATACATATATAAGATTGGGTGGGAAGCATTACCTGCAGCAGCAGTGGACTCCCAGCAAATCTAGTGGTCTCCCGGCGATAGATAGCATCCAAGCCTATCAGCGTCTCGGCCAAGGTCATGGTGATGCAGCTCTTTCCTTCTTTCAAGCCTTGAGTAACTTCAATCAGACGAATGCTAAATCCGCCAAAGCCCGGGGAAAGCAGAAAGTGAGACAGCAAACA